AGTTTAGGCTTGGAATGAGTGGAAACAGATGAAGGCTCTTCTAAGTTAGGTTCCTTTTTCTCATTGAAACCTAAACCACTCTTATCTCCTGTCACTCTTCCTGCTTGGAGAATTTCATCTAATGTGTCAGACCCATTATTCAGCATTTTGAGAGATTTGACCATTCTATCAAGATTTGAGTTTAGAGAGGACACTTCACTTTCCAGATCAAAAATAGTTTTAAGATGCTCTTCCCTTTCCTCCTTCAGCTGAGTTATAAGGGCTTTCTGTTTCTCCCCTTCAAGACATACTTCTGCACTTCTGATACATAATTCTTTGTATGAAGCAGCTAACTCATCAAAGGTTAGTTCCCCATCACTAGACTCTTCATCAGATACATATTTGCCTGTCAATGCTTTCACATATTTGACAGATTCTTCAAGATCACTCTCTGAGTCCTCTTCAGACCAAGTAACAAATAAATTTGTCTTCTGTTTCTTTAGATATGTAGGACATTCAGCTCTAATGTGACCAAAACCTTCACATTCATGTCATTGTATTCCCTTCCCTTGAGAAGTTTTTTCTTCAGCCCTTTTTCTTCCCCTGTCAGATGGGATGTTCTTGACATTTGACCTTTGGTTCCTGTCCATTCTTTTTATCACTTTATTAAATTGTCTTCCAAGCATAGCTAGGGAATTTGATATTCCTCCATCTATATCCAGATCACAGTCCTGTTCTCCATCTTCAGTATTAGATACAAAGGCTATGCTTTTGTTTTTCTTCTCAAATCTTTCATTTATGCTCAATTCAAATGTTAGAAGGGATCCAACAAGTTCATCCACTTTCATTTTATCAATGTCTTGGGCTTCTTATATAGCAGTTACCTTCATATCAAATCTCTTGGGAAGAGACCTGAGCATCTTTCTCACTAATTTGTCTTCAGGTATTTTCTCTCCTAAAGCACTGGAGGCATTAGAAATTTCAAGGATGTTCATATGGAAGTCATTTATACTTTCATCGTCTTTCATCCTTAAATTCTCAAATTTCGTGGTGAGCAGCTGAAGTCTTGACATCTTAACTTTGGATGTGCCTTCATGAGTAGATTGAAGAATTTCCCATGCATCCTTAGCAACTTCACATGTATTCACTGATCTGAAAATATTTTTTCCAATTCCATTGAATATAGCATTTAAGGCTTTAGAATTTCCAAGAGCAATTTCATCTTCTTCCTTAGACCAATCTTCTTCACGTTTTAATTTAGAAGTAGGCTCTCTAGTCTCTCCCAATTTAATAGGGTGTTTCCATCCTCTTAAAACAGCTTTCAAGGGCCTACTGTTTAAGGACTTTAAAAAGGCAACCATACATGGTTTCCAGTAGTCATAATTGCTTCTATCCATAATGTGTGGTCTATTCACAAATCCTCTTTCCTTGTCCATAGTACCAGAAAGTATCTTCCTGGAATCTCACCCAGATAAAGAGAAGGATGCATGCTCTAATACCAATTGAAATTCTGGTATCAGATATGTGATGTCGAAAGAGATATCACGACACAAATATTTGTTTGCAAGTAAGGTGCAGTAAAATTGAAAGCAGTAAAAACACAAGAGATTGTTCACCCAGTTTAGTGTACAACAACACCTACTCTGGGGGCTACCAAGCCAAGGACAAGTTCACTAAATAATATCAATTCTTAGACCCTCAGTAAACAACCAGTTTACGATCTAATCACTTAATCACTACCCAAGCTAAACCACTACCTAAGACTCACCTAGGTATGAGGCCATCCTCAATTCCCTTCAATCACTTACAGTGAAGAACTTAACAGAATTAATAAGTTTGAAACACTCCAATCATTCAATGCTTAAAAGCTTATAAATGATACACAATTAACAACCCAAATAACAACCCAAGTATTTAAACTAATACTTAGAGTGTATTACAAATAAAAAGCCTAAACTTCTAATCAGAAATAAATTATTCTTCTTTAAAAATTTCTTGTCTTTGAATAAGGAAGCGAGTCCTTATATATGCGCAGCTTTGGGCTTGGGCTTGAAAACAAATATTCAAATCTTTTGAATATTTCCATAAAAACAGGCTAAGATATAATTATGCAATTTGAAAAATATTCCTCCATATTTTTCACAACCTGTAGTTCACAAATCCTGAATTATAGAGTGCTGGAAATCAGGAAACAGAAGACTTAACTGATTTTGGGTTGAGATCAGTTTAATAGGCAGATGTCAAGACATCTTCTTTGACATCATTCAAAACAGTTTTGCTCCAAATGTTAAGACATTTAGCAAAACATTAACAAGTCACTATTTTACCAAAATTGCTGCCAATAAACACTTACAGTTCTGTTTTGATAGTTGGTTAGAGGTTCTGTTATATCCGTTAGAGTTAGTTACAGGTGTGAGCTGTTAGTTTCAAAACTGAGTTTGGATTTATGTTGTACTTTCTTCTGATTTTTATTGATAAATCCTCCCTCTAATATTTTCTTCTGAATTTTAAGTTTGATACTAATATGTTGAGTTGTGATCTCTCTGAGTTGATTCTCTGCTTTTTCTATTTTAGATTTTCTAGTTTTGATAATGTCTGAATTGATTTGGGTTTTCACTATTAACACGGGTTTTCAGTTCATAATTCTTGGAGCTATTTTATGTTGAAAATGTCTGACTTGGTGCTGATTTGGTTTTGTTTTAGTGTCGAGCTGCCATGGCTTGGTTCAGTTTTGTGTAAGGAGGAAATTAAAGCATGAATTTAGACAAATTAGCTTGTATTGTTCTCACTTGTTTATGATTCCAATTGATGATGTAATGATATTGTTTTTTTCCCAATAAATATTGCAATACTTGAGTGAATGAATGTATTGGTTTTGGAGGATATGTGCAACTTGGGAAATAGCTACACGAAGTATAATGCAAAGATGTGGCCTCGATAACAAGTCTTGAAGAAAAAGATCACAAGAAAATTTGCAAAAGACAATATTTAGGATGTAATAGAACTTGAAATATTTTGTAATGCTTTTTCATTGTATTTTGCATGAATTGGTTACATTGAGAAAAAATGGTGCATTTGAATATGCTTTGTAATGGAGATATGGTTGAACGGTTATGTAATCTTGTAGCTTTGATCCACTTGAATGAAATAAAATTTCCCTCCTCCTCCTACTTTCAAATTCGACTCTTCTTTTGACTTAATGTACCCCAATAATCAAATGCTTATATCATAAGCAAGAATGGGAATAACCAAAACCCCAGTACGTCTCATAATCAACAAGTATTTGAAATTGAATCCAATAAATTAAACTTGAACCACAAGTAAATGAGTATTGAAACCTTGATGCATGAACAAAACCATAATCCCCAACGTTTGAGAAATGATCCACACAATGGTCACAGTAGAACCTTTACCATCGATGGTATCATCTAACCAAGTCTTCTTATAGGGAAGTAAACCCTAACCAACAAAGAATCCTACCACCTGAACATGGAAATGAATTCTAATCCATATGAAAACCCTATCCTGCCATGTACACATCACATATTATGCAATAACTTGTACTTTAAGTAGTAACGATGGTCCCTTGAATGATGATCTTTACCAATGAATAAAAATCCATGAGGAACTATTTTGGTCGCCGTAGGGAAATAAACCTTAATAGCCTTGTTTCTTAAGGAGGATGGCATTATATCTTACGATCCTTGACAAAGAAAGACGCTATCGATGACATGATTCAAAGCTTCAGCTTTAACTCGAGTTACACTTGAATGAAGCATGAATCTTAATGCATATAGAAAAAATTGATTCAGAGAAACTCTTAATTGTGTGCCTTAAGAACTCACGAAAATGCATGATCTGTGATTTTATGACCTAATGGAAGATGCAGATGAATGTGAAGCATACAACCAATTATGGTAAAAATAAGAGGACAAATTTTGGGGTGCAACAACACTATATTTTGTTATCGGAAAAATTCTTGCAACATCCATTTTTGCCTGCCTTCTTGTTTCATCATCTGAGCCCACGTACACTCTCATAGGTGATGGTAAAAATTCAAAGTTTTTTAAAGACCATGCATGATATGGAACCCGATAAAATCTGAGCCATGTTTATCTTTCATTGTTTACATCATAAGGTTACCATTTTCGGATCTCTAAAAATCATTGCTCTTGTCAATCTCATGCCTCTTCCACATGTTGAGACGATTCTATCATTAACTTTGTTCTCTCTCCTCTCCATTTATTTTTTCTGCGTTAAAAAGTTCCTTACGCTTTCTTTTAAAAATAAGTAACTTTTATTTCAACAAGATTTCTATTGAATTTATGTTCAGTTTGGTAAAACTAGCTGGTAGCTAGTAGCTGAAGACTAGTAGCTTACTCTGTCCATGCTTATTTATAAGCAAATTTTAAATTTTTTAGATTTATTGAATAAATAATATATTTGGTCTATATGTAGGTTAGATACATCAATTGTTGAATGAACTTATAAAGTTAAAATTTGCTTATAAATATGAATGAAGGGAGTATAGCTGATGATTGGTAGCTGATAAGTTAATATGAATGTTTAGTAAATTAGTTGTTACACTAGCTGATACATATAATGACAAAAAAAGACATTCTTATTAAAAAAATCGATGATAAACATTTTTGAACTATTTATAATGTGCTCCTATATAGCACACGTTATTGAACTATTTATAAAACATTTTTTTGGAATGCATGGATTCAATTTTTTGAAATTTTAAACATTATTTTATTCAACTTAATATTTTCAATTGTAGTATCTTTAAATATTTTGAGATAGAGTCTCACATAAATGTAGATATTTACCTCAGTTATAACTTAGGTAAAATAATTAAATTATGATAATTAATAGATAACAATCAAATTTCACACAATGAAACAAAAAATAATTTGAGACATCACCACAAACTAAAAAATAAATAAAAAACACACCAAATTCAACCCTAACAAACAACAAACCAAAGAAACAACATAGAATACCTAGACATAACATTCTTAGAAAACAAAGATTCCTAAAACTAGAGCCACCCCAACACTAACACCAATAGAACCACTTAACATAGTTGAACCCGAATGAGCCGGAGACATCGCCGGAGTAATGTCTACGCTGGAATTTGAAGGAGTATTCTCCGCCGGTGAGTCAGCCGGAGAAGGTGATGATGAAGGACCATGACGTGGTTTACGATTGTGGTTTGGAGACAAAACCACCACAATTAACTTCTCACCTTTTTGGCAATTTTCAACGTTTCCACTTATGAAGAAAAAAGGACCTGATCTGTCAAATTTAAAAATTGAGTTTCCACCGTCCAATTTGAGAATTGGATTGTTGGTATTGCATGAGTTGTAATCTTGGTTATTTACCACCAACACTGAATCAGATCCTTTGTTATACTTAAAATCTACATAAAAAAATCACAAAAATATATAATAAAAGTTATCTTCATATAATAATCTAGAATTAATTATTTTTTCATATAAATAAATTTATTATTATTTTCTTAACTTGTTTAGTCAAAAGTCAAACCAAATTACAAAACTTATTAGCTAAGAAATACTTAAACATTTCCCATGAGTTTACTAGTGCCTTTTGGATGAACTATGAAACCAAAACAAATATAAAATAATTATAACAATTCAATATTTATATAAAGACTAAAATTTAGGAAAAGTAAAACTATTATTAATAACAAAACTACATTGACAGTTCAATTTTAGTTATGAAATTTAGAGGTAAAAACTTACAAAGTGTGTCGTTGATTTGAAACCTATTTTTCTGAGCCCACTGACTGTAACATTGTGAGGGTTTAACAGCCCAGCCATCTTTGCCACCAACGTTGAACTTGTAACCATATGAACTTGAAGAGATGATAAACATCATTGACATGACCAAGATAAAACCAGACTTCATCATTGCCATTTTGATTAATTAAGATTTTATTGTAAGAGAAAGAATCTAGTACAATGATTTTCTGATTCGAATATGAAAAAAATAACGAGTTGTGGTGTTTATTTATATAGTGAGGTTAGGGGGAAGTGACCGTTCGAAACATTAGGCGTTTTATAATATCAAGATATTAAACGCCGGCCTCGTTTTCCTCTAATTATTGTTATTAAGTATTTTGGTGACAGTTGTTATAAAATATTTTTTAATATTATACGATGTTAATTTAAATTATATAATAATATTATATTTAAAATTTACATACTATTAAAATATGAGTTGTAGCAATTTTTTTTTAATTTATAAATTTATTTTTTGAAAAAAAATATTTCTTTATTGTAATTAGTTGGTGTATTATTTTCAAGGAATATTGATTCAAAGTATAAGAGTGATATAAATTAAAGGAAAATTTGCGTTTTCTAGAAGCCAAAAAGAAAAGGAAATTTTGAGTTTAAAGTGTTATGAAATTAATTAAGAATATATGATGATATTATATTACAAACTTAAAAGGATAGAGATGGAATAAAGAAAGAAAAATTGAGAGAAAAGGATAACATTACATTATTATGCTCTTAAAATATCCGCTTTATGATGCTATATTATAGACATAAATTTTTGTAACTTATAAGAATGTGAGTGATCACGTAATTCACATTACCATTAAAATATTCATTAACAATATTTAAAGGTGTGGGACTTAAAAATTGTGGAAGACTAAAAGGAAAGAAGGATGAGTATATTATATATATTTATTTTAAAGACTCCTTGGATGTTTATTAAGTATATTTCTCATTAATATCGCATTACATAAAATGCAATGACAAAAAAATCCAATAATAAAGTGATGCAATAATCTTTGTGTGATATCTAATTTTTTGTTGCCAAATATTCAAGGGAACAAAACCATGTCTCCGCATATTCTTTTAAAAAAACGACTTATCGCGATTTTTCTTTACTTTCTATGTTTTTGATTAATTTTTTCATAATTTTTATTTTGTCGAAATACATGCGTGGTGTATGTCTACTAGTTTATTGTATAGGTTATAAGTTGTATTCATCAGAGTCGAATATAATAAATATTGTAGTATGTCGAAATCTTGTTTTGGACTTTAGCGTGTTTTGTTTAATTGGGTCTGAGTATTGTTTGCTAATATAAAGGGTTGCTGAGTTTGTAATCAAGTGTGTAATCAATAATAGATTTTTAAAATTCTGTTAAAATCACAACAAACTTTCAATCTCTCTCTCTCTCTCTCTCTCTCTCTCTCTTTCTCTCTCTCTCTCTCTCTCATCTTTCATAAATCATCTTTCTTGAAAATCCTTTGTTCCAACAAATTGGTATAACAGAGTCTGGTTGCGATTCAGAGAGAATCTAATGACAAACAGAATAACAACGTTAAGCCAGTTTCCAGCGAATCTACTGGTTTTTAAAGGTGAAAACTATCAGCGGTGGATTGTGCAGATGAAGGTTATCTTCAGATTCCAAGATGTTAATGAAATAATGAATGATGGAGTATCAGAACTGGAAACAAATGCGACGGAAGCCCATAAAATTGCGCACAAAGATCAAAGGAATAAAGAAGGTAAAACCTTGTTCTTGATTCACCAGTGTGTGGATTCTGATGTATTTGAGAAGATAATTGAAGAAGAAACGGAAAAAGGAGCCAGGGACAAGTTAAAGAACTTGTATGATAGAGATGAGAAATTGAAGAAGGTGAAGTTGCAAACACTAAGGAAGCAATACGAGATGCTTTAGATGTAATAAGATGAATCAATTTCTGCATATTTCTCAAGAATTTTGACGCTAATAAACCAGAAGAAGGCATGTGGTGAATCGGTTACGGATCTACAAAAGATTGAGAAAGTGTTATGATCTTTGACTGTAGACTTTGACTACATTATTGTGACAATTAAATAGGCTAAGACTCTATCTGAGGTGATGTTAGAAGAACTTCAAGTTTCACTAGAGGCTCATGAGATGAGGTTGAAGCAGAGAAACTCAGAAAGAGAGAAGGTGGCTGAACAGGCATTGTAATCAAGATTCAGCAAGAAAGCTGGAAAAGAGAAGTCAAAGCAGCGAAAGAATATTGCTAGTGATGAGAAGTCAAGCAAGAATACTGATTCGATCCAGAAAGGTGTGGGCAACAAGTATTCTGGAAAGGAAGTTGACATGAAAGAGGTGCAGTGTTACAATTGTAAAGGTTTTGGTCACTATGCTCGAGACTGTCTAAGAAAGAACGCAACAAAGGTAAATGATAGTGATGAAGTTCAATATGGACGAGTTGGAGATAGTGATTGTGATGATGTGTTATTGATGGTGAACACTCAGTCGAACACTGGGAAAAATAACATGTGGAATATGGATTTAAGATGCAACAACCACATGACTGACAATAAAAATTGGTTTACCAAGTTAGATGAGTCAGTCGAAAAGGTGATAAAGTTTGCAGATGGTAGGCACATCAAATCAGGTGGTAAAGGAGATATTTTGTTTGTCAAGAAGGATGGTCGGAAAGCTACTATCACTGACGTGTTATATGTACCTTTTGTGACAAGTAACTTGATAAATGTAGGTCAATTACTTGTAAAAGGCTCCAATATGAAGCTGGAGAAGAATCAGATGAAGGTATATAGGGCTAATGGGAGGCTATTAATGAAAGTACCATCGACGGAGAATAAAATGTTCAAAGTTGATCTCAACACATCATATCACAAATGTCTTGCTTCAACCACAAAAGAAGACAAAAACTGGCTATGGCATCACAGATATGGACATCTAAACTTCAGAAGTTTATGCATGCTCAATCAGAAAAGGATGGTCTTTGGGTTTCCGTATGTAAAGGAACCAAAGCAGGTATGTGAGGAATGCTACAAAGCAAAACAGGCTAGGAAGGCATTCAAACATGACTTGCCCGTGAAATCAAAGCAAAAACTAGAAATGGTTCATTCTGATGTGTGTGGACCCTTTGAAGTAAATTCAAATGGAGGTAACATGTATTTCCTTACTTCATTGATGAATTCATCAGACATATGTGGATTTACCTTATTGAAAGAAAAAGTGAGGTATTCATACAGTTTAAGAAGTTCAAGTTGCATGCTGAGAAACAAAGTGGTTGTAAATTGAAGAAGTTAAGAATTGATGGTGATGGTGAATATACTTCTACTGAATTTTCTAGATTTTGCAATGAGGAAGGTATAAATCATGAGGTTATTGCGCCTTATATGCCTCAGCATAATAGCATAGCTGAGATAAAGAATAGAAGTATACTGGACATGACGAGAAGTATGTTGAAAGCTAAAGATATGCCTAAGAGATCTTAGGACGAAGCAACTTTGATAGTAGTATATATTCTAAATAGATGCCCAACAAAGAAGATGGTCGAAAAGACACCTCATGCGGCTTGGACAGGGTCGAAGCCAAACATGAGTCATCTTAGATTTTTTGGATCAATGTGCTTCAAGCATGTACCTGAATAATTGAGAAAGAAGTTGGACGATTGAAGTGAAGTCATGGTGATCATAGGTTATCATTCAACTGATGCATACAAGTTGTATTTGCCAAACAAAGATAAAATAGTGATCAATCGATATGTTCTTGTAGACGAAAGCAAAGGGTGGGAATGGAGTCGAAGTTCAGTTCGACAAGAATCACATACAATCACAATTGTGTTCGAAGAAGATGAACAAAATGAAGCTTCAACCAATCAAAATGAACAGGATGATGCTTCAACCAGTCAAAATGAAGAACCATCTGTGCAGAATGAAAGAAGGTCGATAAGAACCAGAACAAAGTCAACAAGGCTAATTGGATATGAAAGGTTTCCAGATCAAGCAGTTGATACATATAGTGACTTAATAAAAAAAATCCATGATTATGGATGAAGCAGAACCAATTGATTTGGATGAAGCAATGAACAATTCGAATTAGTGTGAAGCCATGAAAGAAGAACTCGGATCTATTGATAAGAACAAGACCTGGGAGATTGTCGAGAGAACAAATAAGAAACCAATCGATGTAAAGTGGATTTACAAGGTGAAACAAAGACCAAATGGTGATATTGTGAAGTATAAAGAAAGATTGATGGCGAGAGGTTTTCTACAAAACCTGGCATCTACTTCAACGAAGTATATGCGCCTGTTGTGAGGCTAGAAACAATCAGAATTGTTGTTTCGACAATAACATATAGAGGATGGAAGATGCATCAGTTGGATGTAATGTCAGAATTCTTGAATGGTCCATTGGAAGAAGTCTATGTTACTCAACCACCAGGATTCAACGTGAAAGGGCATGAGTCGAAGGTATATAGATTAAGGAAGGCTCTCTATGGTTTGAAACAAGCCCCTAGAGCTTGGAATAAGAGAATAAATATCTTCTTGATCAAAGCAGGTTTCACAAAGTGTGTCTCTGAACATGAAGTGTATGTAAATGATATCAACAGTGTTAGTCAAATCATTTTATTCCTCTATGTTGATGACTTACTCATTACAGGAGCAGACGAAGCTGAGATAATGAAGGTAAAGTCGAAATTAATGCAGGAATTCAAAATGTACAATTTAGGGAATCTCTCATATTTCCTAGGGATGAAATTCAAAAATACTGAAAAAGGAGTATTCTTGCATCAAACTAAGTATGCTTAAGATATTTTGAAAAGAATTAAAATGAGCAACTGCAATGAAGTTGTCACTCCGTTACAAACTGGAGCAAAGTTGAAAAAGGAAATGGATGATAAGTTTGTAAATTTGATCCTTTACAAACAAATCATTAGATCCTTGAGATATCTTTGCAATACTAGACCAGATATCTACCAAAATATAGGATTGCTCAGAAGATTTATGGAGAAACAAAAAGAGTGTCATCTCATCGCAGTAAAGAGGGTGTTGCGATACATAAAGTGAACAATTGATCATGGTGTGTTGTTACCAAAGAAGTCGAAGAACATCATAAATGTCAAAGTTCATGGATACATTGACTCATATTT